ATCTCTTCAACTACTTGAACTACATGTGATTTGATTCCCTTATAACCTGAAAATATGTAGGATGTCCAAAACCAAGACTTGGTCGCATAGATTTTTTCTTTCAAATAAAAGTCCGGTCAAAATTTGCCGCATTGTTTACTTCTTTGTCTAAAAACTCTTCGTGTTTCCAGTCAAAGAGGGGCAAACTGTAGACACACTATTTTTTATCGAACTTGAGATTTTACACCATTTTTGGTGTTTAAATATTTTTTTTATTTAAATTAAATATTTTCTTTTTTCAATATATTTAATAAGTTTATTTTCAAAGATTTGAAAACTACAAAAAAATATATGTTTTCTTTTAATTTAAATTTTAATAAATAAACTAGTATTTCTTAATTATATTTTTAGACTAGCTATTTGACTTTTCTTATATTTTATTACTTCAGAATAATTAATTAATTATTATTATTATTTTTTATATATGTATTTAATTTTAAAAAATATAATAACCTAAACTACTCACACTACCCCACTACATCTATCCTCACCCCACCTTCAATTCAACTACCCCACACACCCCACTCCACTCACCACTCACCCTAACACCCTTACATACATACACACTAAAATACAGATACCACACAACATATATGCACAACACATTAACACACACACGGACAATCACGTAGAGTAACACAAAAAGAAAGAAAAGAAATATCATTCGGCACAACATCAAAAATCAAAACACTACAATCAACAACACTTACACGAGCAAAAAAAAACAGAAGAAAGCACTCCCATTTCATTTTATTTTTCTTTCAAACAATAATCATACATTCACATCTTTTCTTCCTTACCCATTATTTTCATATCAACAAAAATACAGATACCATCACAAACAACCTATAAAAATCTTGTGGGTGTTTTAATCGAGTTTCGGTAAAGATTTTGCGGTATTCAACTTTACCTTATCTCCTTAATTTATTTATGTAATTTGATGTAATTTTATGATAGATTTTTTTATATTTTGTTTTATTCATAAATTTGATTGAAATGATTAATTTGATAGTTATTATATCTCTTTTTAAATGAAAGTAGCTTTGTTTGGTGAATTTTTTTTTATTATTGTATTATTTTGTCCAATAAAGAATGCGATTTGTTTAGTGATTCATTATGTTTTGTTGGATTAGTAAGAAATTACAATATGTGTATGCCTAATTTTGACATTAAGATAAAAAATAAAAAATAAAAATATAATATGTGTATGCCTAATTTTAACTTTAACATTAAGAGTCAATAAAAATAAAAGAACACAAAAGAATCCAAAATTTTATATTGTATCCTAGAAGTTTATATTTATTTTATTCATAAAGAACTTATATTTTCTTATAACGTTAGATGAGTTTTAGAACTCGTTTCAAAAGCCTGTTTGAATAAAGAATGTGGTTACACATCTTTTTTGAGACATTAAAAAATAAACACAAGGATGCGGGTGACGCACCTTGTCCAATAATATAGTTGGCTTTCATTAATCTAAAGTAGAGACTTATAGATAAAAGTATTAGGTGGGATATAAGAAGACATTTATGTCTCCAAATGTCAAGAGCAGGAATGCGGGTACGCATCTTGGTTAAGACCAACTAAAGGATCAACAATAAAAAAATGCAAGCACATAATGGCTTGTAATAATGGTTCCAAAAAATAAAATAAAATTTTAAGATAAGTATAAGTAAATAAAAGCAACCGTGCTAGAACAATGGGACTCGAGGGATGCCTAGTACCTTTCCCTCCATCAATAGAATCCTTACCTGAATTTCTAGTTCGCAAACAAAAAATAAAGAGTCATTTCCTTTTGATTAGGGATTAAAATGAAAAAGGTGACTTGGAACCCCATAATTCAATTCCAAGTGATGACTCTAAAAAAAAATCCCTAATCAATACCGTCACTTTAATAGAAAAAACTCTTCCTCCTCCGTACGCGAACAAGGGGTGTGACAATAATAATAATAATAATAACTTAATTTAATTAAATTAATAATATGTTATTGTTGTTATTATTGTTATTGTTATTATTATTATTAATACAAATATTTATTAGAGAAATATATATATATATATATATATGTGTGTGTGTGTGTGTGTGATATATGATATGATGATATGGTATGATACATCCACTGTCTTTTAGAATCTGAGATCTAGTTGACTTTCCCAAGGAACGTAAAACTATTGAGAATAAATGGATTCTCAAAGTTAAATGAAAATTAGATTGGTCAATAGAAAGACAAAGCACGATTGATAGCAAAATGTTTTACTCAAGAAGTTGGAATAGACTATGAGGAAACTTTTTCACTAGTTGTGAAGTTTACTTCCATACGATTACTTTTAGCTATTGTTGCACATTTAGATCTAGAATTACACCAAATGGATATGAAGACCGATTTCTCGATGAAGAATTAAACGAGGAAATCTACATGGAACAACCAGCATGTTTCATTGTCAAAGGGTAAGGAAAGAAAGTTTGTAAATTGATAGGATCAATGTATGGCCTAAAGCAATTTTCAAGGCAGTGGTTCCTGAGATTTCATAAGGAGGTGATGGCATTTGATTTCACCATTATCAATGACGACTATTGCATTTATGTGATAATGTTAAAGAGAGAATTTGTAATTATTTCTCTTTACGTATATGATAATATATTAGCTAGAAATAATTTGGAGTATATGAAAACTGTCAAGTCATGACTTTCAAAATTGTTTGATATGAAAGATATGGGTGAAGCAGACTATATATTGGGTGTTATGATCCAAAGAGACTGCACTACAAGAAAAGTGTGAATTACATAGGGATTTTCCTGGGGATCAGTATGAAAATCCGTAGGAAACTTATTTTCTTGCAAATTTTCATACTAATCCCTATATAATTCATAGTTTTTTAATAGTGTCGTTCGATTTTTTTTTTTTGAGTTTATCTCAAGGAATGTACATAAAGAAAATATTGGAAGTATTTCGAATGAATAGTTGCTAATCCATGGATATTCTTATAGTAAGGGGTGAAACTTTCAGCCTTGAAACTTTCCCAAAGACTGAAAAAGAAAAAGAAGACATGTCCAGAGTTTCATATTCTAGTGTTGTGGGGAGTTTGATGCATGCTATGATTTGTATTCGCCCAGACATTTGTTATGTCGTAAGTTTGGTAAGAAGGTATCAATCCAACATGGAAGAGCTCATTGTAAAGCAGTAAAGAGAATATTTCAATACATGAAGGGAACATAAGATCATTCACTATGTTATAGTGGATACTATTTATTCATAAGAGGTTGTACATATGTTGATTTAGCTGGTGACCGGAATGATAGAAAACAACACGCAGTTATGCTTTCTTACTTAATGATGGTGCTATTTCATTGAAAAGTAAGAAACAAACTTGCACAACTCTCTCAATTATGGAATCTGAATTTGTGGTTTGTGCGCCTGCAGTACAAAAAGTTGTTTGGTTAAAGAGATTCTTTAAGCATTTGAATATTGCTAAGGGTCCTATGATTCTATAATTGTGACAATCAGGCGGCTATCGCATACACGAAGTCCTAAGTATCACAACAAGACCAAACACATTTACATCAAGTATAACTTTATGAGAGACATAGTAGCAAGTGGAGAAATAAATTTGCAATACATTCCTACTCGTGAAATGATAGTTGATCCTTTTATATATGCAATATCTAGACACTTATTTGAGAAACAAGTTAAGGCTATAGGTTTTTGTAGGATATGTTAATATTTATGTACTGTAAAATAACTTGATAGTTATAATATTCTCATCAATATATGACTATTCTGAATTTATATTAATAAATCATATGCTTGTGATATTGATTTTAAAAATAAAGTGTGTCAAACAAGTCATGAGATTGGCTATCTCACATGAGCACTCACCTCTTACGTCGAGGAATGTGAAGAGAGGAGTTTCACTACCATTTTGTGACTTGTTTTATTAGCCAGACAAGAGCTCTAAGAAGATGAATTTGAGAATCATTGAAAACAATAGCTCGGGTTAGACATCTAGAGTTTTTTAGATTAAGATCTATACGATGTAGGTTGATTAAAACACTGAGACAGAAGCACCAATACAAGGTGAGAACATCATAGCACGTGTTTCATACCACGTGTGTCAAGAGATCACTGGGTTAATAGAAGAATGGTTCCCTGCTTCTTTATTGTGTGAGACCCTGAAAAGTAAAATTAACTTTTCATTGGAATACCCTTTGACCTTTTACTGTTTCTTGAAGTTTCGATCGGTGTTGCTACTTTAGCATGTTACTAATAGCCATGAGTGATTTAGTTTAAGCATTGTATGTCTAGAAAAGTAGTTTATATGGAACATATAGATTCGAGTAGAAAGTAAATATAAAGTGAACAATTTAACCTATATACACAAGCCGATTATTACACTTGAGTGTATATTGTGTACATAAAGTTAAACATGAACATGAGTTAACCTTTTTAAGAGGATAAGGGATCGAATAAGTAACTATTGAAGTAGTGAATACTTTACAAGTGTTATTGAATTCCTATGTAAGGCTTGTAACAACCATGAAGGCAAGCCTTGGTACTCACAGGTCGCACAAACTATTTATCGTATGAATTGTGTGTTTAGTAGATATCAGATTGATTTAGGTCATGTCCACAATGTACGAAGTGGGAGATATAAATTTTGGGTCCTGGATCTCCCATATGGATCCACCCGACCTGAAGTTTTTTTTTCTGAAAAATAAATAAGTACCTATTTGAAAAAGGGGCAGAACCGGTTACTTTGTATTTGTTCCAACGTCTACTGATTTTCCTTTTTTTAAAATGGATGTTAAACACTTTTCAATAATAAACCAATAACAAATCAACAAATACTAACAACCTTAGACTTTAATTGATTAGACTTCAACATTCAATAGTTCAGACTCAAACACAACTCATGAACCTGGTTCCAGTGTTGCTGTGACGAAGCCTTGCAGTTTTACTCCAATGGCTATTACTTTCAAGATGATGACTTTCATGAATATGCGGTAGGTTTCACTCTGCTGTTTCTGAAAAATTCTCTCAATTGTGATAGCAAAAGCCGATCTTCTCTTCTTTGACTTTGTCCTTTCGTAAAGTTTAATTTTTGCCTTGATGGACTTCTAGAAGGAAAGGAAACGGTTTCCAAAAAACTAATCCGTTTTCTTATAGAACTTGTTTGCATTCTTCCTTTGCTCTTGCAATTTTGATTCTACTACTGCATCACCATACATCACTTGCTACTATTATTAATATTTACACTGATAAAGCTTCTCTTCCTGCATTGAAATCTCGCATTTATTCTGATCGAAACAACATCTTAGCTAGAAACTGGTCTTCTTCTATCCCAGTTTGCAACTGGATTGGATTTACTCGTGGCTCCCGTCACCATCGAGTCACTGCTTTAGACATTTTTGGCATGCAACTTTATGGTACCATTCCTCCACATATTGGAAACCTTTCATTTCTCGTCTCCCTCGACATCAGTGACAACACTTTCCATGGTCGTTTACCCGAAGAGTTTGCTCATTTACGAAGGTTGAAAGTCATTAATGTCGCAAGGAATAACTTCACTAGAGCCTATTGTAATGTATGCGTCAACTATCAGTCAACGGACCAGGTCCCTTGACTCACCAAGAGCAGTAAGTAACTGAAATAAAGGTGCAGAATATAAATAGCTCAAAATAAATCAGACACAATGATTTTATGTGGAAACCCCCTTTCTCGAGGGTGGTGAAAACCACGACCTGTACTCATCGAATTTCAACCCAGACTCCATATTACTCAAACAGATCAACGATCCAAATTAAAACTTCTTGCAACATAGGTATTTACCTCTAAATCCCTTCCCCCTTTATGTAGTAACTCTACTACAAAGAAAGCAACTAAGCAGATACAACACTGCTCACTAAGACACCTAACTTTAGATAACTTCGATTTCAACTAAGCAGATACAACACTACCCACTGAATCAACTAACTCTTAGATGATTTAGAATTTGACTAAGCAGATACAACACTTTCGACTAACTACCTAACTCTAGATGATTTAGACTTCAACTAAGTAACAACAATGGTGCCCAATAAACCAGTTACCCCTAACTGACTTAGACTTTAGTATGAACTGAACAAAGATCTAATTCCTATATAGCTTAGGAATAGATTTATAATTTAAGCACATAAGACACAAAGCTCAAAATACAACAAAGACACTTCAACACTTTATCAGGTCCCTTTGTTGAGCATGAGCAATGTTCTTACTTGAAGATGGCCTTTTATTTTTGAGCTTATGAATTTTCAGAAACTCACAACTTTGTTTGCCAAAACTTGAGTTTGCGTTTGGGAGAAGAGACTATATCACAATGGACACAAACCCTTGGGACAAGGTCATTGGTTGAAAGCCTGGTGTTATCAAAAGTTGCACACCAACCACATCAAAGTTGGTAGCCTTTTGACAACTGTCTTTTCATCCTTTTCTCGTACGCAAACTTTCCAGGACCATGTCCCTGCTGCTTTCTTTAATGGTTGAGTTCTTGAAAAAGACTTACTAGTTGTCTCTCTTCTTGAATGAATAATGTTGTTTGTTTATTGTTGTATATATCAGTTACCAAGAAGGGTTTTGACCACTTAAACAAAAAACTTCGTCCACCCTTCCTATTGGTGAAGTACGATGCACATCTCACCAACCAACCTGACAAGACAGCTATAAAGATAGCTTTATAGTTGTGCACCACTTTGAATCTTGACGGAAGTACTCTACCAAAGACCGGGTTCCTGCATTCGTGAGGATCATCAAAACACTAGAATATAACAGAGCCATTGCATCATTTTTAAATTCGTTACCAAACCTACGCTTTCTATACCTCTGGAGCAACAAATTTTGAGGGAAAATTCCATCTTCCCATTCTAATCTAACAAAGTTGGAAGTGTTGAGCTTGCAGAATAATTTTCTCAAAAGAGAGATTTCTCGAGAAATTGGTGATCTTCACTAGACTTTTTTAGACCTGCAAGATAAACAACTTACTGGCTTTATACCGACATCAATCTTCAACATTACGACGATGTAAAATACTGGTCTTAGCAATAACAATCTTACTGGTAAGCTTCCCACAACTCTATGCGATCATCTTCCACAGTTGAAAGGACTTTACATCTCAAAAACCAACCTAAGTGGCATTATTCCACCAACCCTGGAAAAATGCAAGAAGCTTCAAGTCTTTTCATTGTCGTTAAATGAGTTTACGGGAACTGTACCAAGAGCGCTAGCCAACTTAACAACTCTTACAAGATTATATATTGCAACTCTACATTTGGAAGGTAGACAAATGATAATTTTAATTTTTTTCTCTCTTTCGTGAAAATAATAACTAATATATTTTCCCTAATTGACAGAAGAGATATTGGTGGAGCTCGATAATCTTAAGACACTACAGTGGATGATGTTAGTCGAAAATGAGCTCACTGGTTCGATCCCTGCAAGCATTTTCAACATGTCAGCACTGAAGATCCTAGTACTTTTACTAAATTATATTTCAGGTACTCTAACTTCAGATTTAGCTCGCGGAATGCCCAATCTAGAGTAACTTTACTATGCAGGAACTAATCTAAGTGGTTCACCGCTGATTAAATTTCAAATTCTTCAAAACTCAGAGTAATTCATCTCACAGTCAACAGTTTCATAGGTCATGTTCCTAATCACTTGGTAACTTAGAATACCTCGAGATTCTAAGCTTGCATAGAAATAATTTTTTGAGTGATTCAACAATGAGCTTTCTTACATCATTGTCAAACTGTAGGAATCTTAGAGTACTCTGGATTGGTGATAATCTGTTAGATGGTGTTTTGCCTCCATCTATTGGTAATTTATCCAAACATCTAGATTCTTTTGATGGAAGTGGTTGTAAACTTAAGGATGTCATCCCTCAAGAAATCGGTAATCTTACTGAAATGACATCATTGATCTATTTAAAAATGTGTTGATAGGACATATTCCAATCACTGTCCACATCATGGTTTGCCTTCAAGAACTTTATTTACTAAGCACTAAGATAGAAGGAACCATACCATATAGTATCTGCAGTTTAAGGAATATAGGGGCTTTATACTTGTCAAATAATCATATTTCTGGTTCTGTGCCCTCATGCTTAGGGAATGTTATTAGTTTGAGGAATCTTAATCTAGCTTACAACAAGCTGAATTCAAGAATGCTTGCAAACTTGGGGATCCTTCAAGAGCTAATAGAATTCGATGTTTCATCTAATTTATTAAGTGGGCATATTCCTCTAGAGTTTGGAAATTTAAAGGCTACAACACTCATTAATCTGTTAAAAAATATTTTTCTGATAAGATTCCGAGTGTTCTAAGGGGTCTAGATAAACTGATTATTCTTTCTCTATCACATAATAGTTTACAGGGCCCTATTCCAGAATCATTTGGCAAAATGTTGTCTTTGGAATACTTGTATTTGTCCTATAACAATCTTAATGGTCAAATTCCAAAGTAATTAGAAGCTCTTGTGTATCTCAAGAACATGAATCTCTCATTCAATAAACTCAGTGGAGAGATTCCCGATTTAAATGCCACAGGTCAATCTTTCATGTCCAATGATGCACTCTGTGGTAACTCCCGCTTTAACATTAAACCATGCCTAGCCAAATCTGAAAAGAAGTTAAGAAGAAAAAAAATGCTTGTAGGTTTATATATGATGTTAGGGATTGGATCACTCCTTGCATTAGCCATTGGATATGTGGTGTTTACATTAAGAAAAAAAAAGAAAAATGCAAGTCAAGAAGATGTAACTCTAGTAAAAGGGCATGGAAGAATTTCTTATTATGAACTTGAAAATACAACAGAAGGATTCAACGAAAGCAACTTGCTTGGTAATGGAAGTTTCAGCACGGTCTACAAAGGGATACTTAAGGATGGTACCCTTTTAGCAGCAAAGGTCTTATATGTGCAGTTGGAGGGTGCATTCAAAAGTTTTGACACATAATGTAAGATACTTCAGAACCTTAGCCACAAAAACTTGACCAAACTCATCACCAGCTGCTCCAACGTTGATTTTAAATCCCTAGTGTTGGAATACATGCCCAACGGGACCCTTGGTAAATGGTTATACTCTCATAATTTGTTCTTTTAAGTCACTGTATAGACTTGATATAACAATAGATGTTGCGTCGGCAATAGACTATCTCCATAATGGCTATTCAACACCAGTGGTTCATTGTGACCTGAAGCCAAACAATGTCTTGATAGATCATGAAACGGTTGCTCATGTAAGTGATTTTGGCATTGCAAAAATGTTTGGTGCAGGGGAGGCTTTTGTCCAAACAAGAACATTTGCAACCATTGGTTATTTTGCTCCAGGAATATCATAGTTTTTTTTAGAGTTTTCATATTGTTTAAACTCAAAACAACTCTTTCCCCTAGATATAGATCGATATTCTTAGTCTTTGCATATTCCATTTTAACTAAGAAACTTTTATGATAATTTTTTACCATGATTGTAGAGTACGGACAGGATGGTATAGTATCCACGAGTTGTGATGTTTACAATTTTGGCATCCTGATGATGGAGACGTTTACAAGAATTAAACCAAATGATGAAATTTTTACTTGAGACTTGAGCATAAAACGTGGGGTTAGTAATTCAATCCCAAGTAGAATTCATAAGGTGGTGGATTCTAATTTGATACAACTAGGGGATGAAAAAATCGATGCAATGTTTGTTATCAATCATGGAATTAGCTTTAAGTTGCACATTAGTTACCCCTGGTGCAAGAATTAGCATGGAAGATTCTCTTTCAACACTGAAAAAGATTAGGCTCTAGCTTGTCAGTAGTCTGCACTATGTGGAATCGAACCCCTGTGTTCTTGTATTTGATTACCTATGTCGGTTAGGTTAATATTTCAATTCTGCACAAGTAGCTTTAAGTGTTGTAATCATTGTTGTAGGAAGCAACTTGTTTATTGATATATGTAAATTTTATGATATATAAAAGTCGAAAATGGCAGTCTACTCACGTATCCTTTCATGAAACTTTAGATGCATTATTTTGGAATTCCTTAGATACTTTGGTTGGGAGTGTGAGAATATTCTGACACATTTAGCTTGACGATTTCGGTACAAATCTGGTTGATCCTGAAATAAATAAATAAATACTACTTTTGTTTGGGAGATTTGTAATATTTGACAGCCAAAGTAGGTAGCTGAATGTTGTGAACTTTGTCGATTTGGGTTATTGTATATCTGATCCCTGCTTCTTATCCCCTTCAAATTGTTAAAAGTTTGTTGGATAGCTTTAATTCATGTAAAGTTTTATTGTAGTTGAATCGGCATTTGAGTTAGTTCATTCGGATATTTGTGGACCATATCTTGTTGTTTCTTAAATTAGGGATAGGTTATTTATCACTTTTGTGGATGATTTCATGATCTTGGTGCTTGATAAAAAACTAATGATCTGTGAGCTTGTGAAACAGCTCTTCAAAACTCAAGGAAGAATCCTTGCTCTTATGGAAATAGAGATGTCACGGTACTCGGGTCCCAGTCCTCTTAAAATCCTTACAATAAGTTCATCATTTGTTACTAGTGATCAAACAACTTTGAGCGCATCAGAGAGTGAGCGAACCCATTTTAGGATTCTAACACAGTATCTCTAGTTAAAGGTGAATACATGTTATACAATTTTATTTTTTACTTAAGTGGAGAAAAATATCACATTAATTGTTGGTAAAGCCACGACAAGTCTTGAAACTATAAAGTTCAAAGGTGAAGGACAAAAAAATATGTTAAAACAATTTAACAACCAAACTTTAAAAATAATTTAACTAGTTGTTTTATCCAACTAATAAAATTGACCCCATTGACTAAAAGACATACCTATATAAAAACAGTAGATTGGTATACAATAAATTTAATATCATTAAATAGATCTTTCTAAGATCATTGCTTTGTATTATCAAATAATCTTGTCATAGTTATGGAAAGAACTTGCTATCTTCTATTTGCTCTTGCAGTTTTCATTTCGCTTCATCGCCATACTTTTTCACTTGGTAATATTAGCACTGATAAATATGCTCTACTTTCCTTGAAATCTCACAATTCTTTTGATCCCTACAACATCTTAGGAAGAAACTGCTCTTCTCCCAGCCCAGTTTGCAGCTGGATTGGAATTACTTGCAGCTCCTAACACCATCGAGTCATTGCTTTAAATATTTCTAGAATGCAACTTCATGGTACCATTTCTCTACACCTTGCAAACCTCTCATTTCTTGTTTCCCTCAACATAAGTTACAATGCTTTCCATGGAGATTCACCAGTAGAGTTGGCTCATTTGAAGAGGCTGGAATTTATAAGTGTCACAAGTAATAACTTCACTGGAGACATTCTATCATCATTAAGTTTGTTACCAAACCTACGCTTTGCGTACCTTTTGATGAATCAATTCTCAGGAGAAGTTCCTTCTGTTAAAAAAAGTTAAAGATGATTTTTTGAATGACATAGATTTCTCTAGAATGCCCTAATGTAGAAACATAGAAAATAGTCTTAAAGAAATATCTATATATTTTAGAAAAGTTGCCTTAAAGAAATATCTAGATATTTTAGAGAAATTGCTAGAAGATAAGTTCACCATAACTTTCTTGTAGAAACTCTAGAGAAGATATTTTTGTAGTAAATGATAGAATAGTCTAGAGCTTATAATAGCTGGAACCATCACTTCACAAGTATAAATAAGGGTGGCCATTGTCATTTGTATCAAACCTAAGAAAACCTAAGAAAAACCCAAATAAAAGAGCTTTTTTCCAGAAATAAGTTCTCCTTTCTCGGTTCCTATTCTTTAGTTTAATCTTCCAATCTTAGTTAACGATCTTAATCTAGTAGAAGATTTTCGATTATACTTTTCTTCTGCTATTCTCTCATGGTATCAGAGCAATAACCATATGTTAGGTTCTGGGTGTTATTTCCAGATCGGGTTAGTGGTAGATTCAACTGGATTTTAGCGCCTGTGTTAATGGACTAGGGATGGAGTTGTTGAACCATTCCAATTACAAGGTATGGAAGACATGTATGAAATCATACCTTGTGGGAGAGGATTTGTGGGATGTTGTTGATCAGAGTATCACAAATCCTCCTGATGACGGACCGGAAAATAGCAGTGCATATAAGAAGTGGAAGCAGATTAATGTGAATGCGGAGTTCATTCTGAAGAGGACAATCTCCCCCCATTTGTTTGATCATATTATAAGGTGTAAATCACTCATGAAATATGGAGTACCCTCGATCGTTTGTTAAACAAGAAGAATAAAGCTCGACTGCATATATTGGAGAATGAATTGGCTAACACCACTCAATGTAATCTTTCTATTGCCGAGTATTTTTTAAAGATTAAGAACTTATGTTCTAAGATATGTTTATTTAATTCGAAAGAGGCCATTTCTGAAGCACGAATGATAAGAATAGTTATTCATGGGTTGAAACCTGAATATATTTGATTTGTGACATTGATTCAAGGATGGGCTGAACAACCATCCTTGGAGTAATTTAAAAATTTGTTGTCATCACAGAAATTACTAGCCAAGCAGTTGGCTAGTGTGTTTGTCAAAGATGGAGAAGAATATGCTCTTGTCGCCGACAAGAGAAACTTCAAAGGAAAATCAAGAGATATGTTGCACTCTCGATCCTCAGGTGGTTCAAGCTCGCTTGGAAAGAAGGACGAGCCTTCTCATTATTATGGTAAGAAGCCTTCTAGATGCTATGATGTGCTAATGTAGGACACATAAAAAATATTCCGAGCCAAGGAGAGTAATATGGCTCAAAAGGTTGCTGAAGAAGAAGAAGAAGAGTGGGGAAAGTGTTTAGTAGATGAAGCTCGAGCAATAGATACAATGGTTTCTATCGACCCTGAAAGAGATTGGATCGAGGATTCAGAATATAATGCAGTTGACCACGTGGAGAAGTAAGAAAGTGATTTCATCGAGATGAAACAAGAAACTCTTGAAGATGTTTATATTGGTGATATGGTAGCTTCTATCGAAGAAATCAAGGAAGCATATTCTGAACAAGCAATGTCTGAAGCTATATATGCCAACAGTGAGAATTCCAGAGAAGGCAATGAGGGACATGTATTGGAAGTTGAAGCCTCTGATCAATTGTTAGCTATAACGAGGTCAATCATCGGCTTAGATCAAACATTGGAAACAAATAGAGAAGATGTTGATCAAATAGATGGAGAAGCTAACCTTGAAGGAAAAATTTCATATGGACTGACAGACAATATAAAATTTGAAAGCTCTAAAGTTGCTAACATATGTTGTTGAAGAGTTAGAAAGGGAATTTAATGAAGGATCATATTATGGTGCTGAGGCTTCACATGAAATTGACTATCAAATCGTCACTAACTCAAATGAGAAGACTTATATGGATGAAAGATTTTTTTGTTATAAAGTTGCAGGTTCCAAAATCTTGAACATTGGAGTTGCAAACATGCCTATTACAGTTGTTTATCCAAATAGTAATATTGTTGGGAAGCTAAGAGAAAGGGGGACTGTAGGAACTCAACAAGGAGATAATTTACATAGACCATTCCATAACGAAAACTCTTTATCATTTGAAAAATCAAGAGGAGTCCGGAAGAAACTACTAAGACTTGCACCAAGACATGGTTCAAAGCTTCATTTGAGTTCTTCTGCTACAAGCTCGGGGTAGTTTTAAAAAAATTAGTTTAAGGGGGAGTGTGAAAAAAGTTAAAGATGATTTTTTGATTGACATAGATTTTCCTAGAATGACCTCATGTAAAAACATAGAAAATGGTGTTGAATAAATATCTAGATATTCTAGAAAAGTTACTTTAAAGAAATATCTAGATATTATAGGAAAATTGCTAGAAGATAAGTTCACTACAACTTTCTTGTAGATATTATAGAGAAGATATTTTTGCAGTAAATAATAGAATAGTCTAGAGCTTATAATATCTAGAACCATCTCTACACAAGTATAAATAGGGTGGCCATTGTCATTTGTATCAAGCCCAAGAAAACCTATGAAAAACCCAAATAAAAGAGCTTTCTTCCATAAATAAGTTCTCTTTCGTAGCTTCACCTTCTTAAGTTGAATTTTCCGATCTTAGTTAACGATCTTGAGCTAGTAGAAGGTTGCCCGATTATACTTTCCTTCTGCTATTCTCTACACCTTCTTTCTTTTCCAACATAACAAAGCTGGAAGTGTTGAGCATGCAAGATAATTTTCTAAGAGGAGAGTTCTGTCGGGAACTTGGTGATCTTTGCTACCTGGCCTTTTTAGATCTGCAATTGAATGAACTTAGTGGCTCTATACCAACATCAATCTTCAACATTACAACTATGAAAAACATTGGTCTTA